CCCGGCGGCCCTGGGGGCGGCCCCGGCCCCCGCCGGGCCCGTGCGCTTGTAATGGGCCCGGTACCGGGCAGCGTGGGGGAACGTCAGCGTGGGTGAACCCTTATCGGTAAAGGGATCTGCTCACGTAACTTCCTGGCCATGAGGGAGTATGTGGTGGTTGATTAAGGAGGAAACCTCTCTTTGGGCCCTCCTTTCAACCCTCGCTTTCCTTTAGCAGGAATACTAACCTTTATTTGTTTGTTTTAGAGCTTTCCTTGCAGAAGAGCTGGTCGTGAAGACACCTCCGGTAGGTTTAACAGCCGGGTGGCTGATGTGTTTGGGATAAAGCTCTGCTTCAGGATGCCATGGAGAAATGGGGTGTTGAAACTAGGAAGTAGTCCATGTGGGAGATGAAAGAGAGAAGGGATTTAAGGAGGAGAGCAGCAGAGAGAGGGAATATACCTATATATTTATGAAAGAACGTTACAGTAGCAAGTGGAGCTCCTTTTTAAGCAGTTGGATGGTGAGATACTCAAAAGTAGAGTTGCAAACTCACCTAGGTGAATAACCTGGTCTCCTTGGGTCCTTTTGGATTCTTGTACCTGTTGTGGTGAAGCCTCCATGGGTCAGAGAACATCCCTGTTTTTTCCTTTTCTTTGCTGTTGGATTGGAAGAGGTTGAGGATACCTGTTGGCACAGTGCCCCAATGGCCTGATAGGARTGGAGTAATTGAGAAGCTGTACTAAATTTCATAAACCTAAAGAGAAGGTAATAACTTGGGGCCAAGCTGGAGGCAGGTCCTTCTGCAACCAGGTGGCAGGAGGAGAGGGTGCACGTACAACTCTTGCTTTAGAGGGTGTCCAAAATCATCCCTGTCAGCGGTGCTTAAGGAGCAGCAAGCTTTTGTGCCTGCCTTGTGGTCAGACCAGGATGCAAGAGGTCCAGTTCTCTGCTGTTGTGAGGATTAACTTTCATACCTGTAAACAGCTGAAATTTTAATTTGTTCCTTCTAAGCACTTGCCTCTCAGGCACTTATTCCAGTGGAGGTGGAAAGAAGCCATGAGACACCGAAGAAATGTGCTCCATTTATGCTATTTAATGAATGGTGGTCAGTCACTTCAGAGTGATTGACTGTCATTA